CCCCAAAACCCCAAAACCCCAAAACCCCAAAACCCCTTAAATAAGCCATAATATAGAAGTTATATAAATTTTCAGCTATGAAAGCTATTTTATTCGCATTGCTTCTTCTTTGTGTATCCCAGGGTAGACACCAAACAAGAGGAATCCAGATGCCTAATGAGTACATTGTAAAAGATCTGATTCATGAATCTGTAAGACAAATATCTCAATCATAACTCTAGGTAGGAATAGAGACCTTGGAGACTCCCCATTTTAACATATATTTTAACCATAATCCTACGACAAGGTGGGACCATCCAATTATGTACTTTAAGAGCCATATCTTGGTGGTCCAGAAAACCATTCTGGATAATGTCCCAGGAATCTTAGAGAAGTTCTTCTGGGGATTTAGCAAATTCATGGAGTTTAGGACACAGGGCATGAATGGGAAACTCAGTCTCATCGATGAAAATTTCCTTGAGCATAAGGGAATATCAGAAATCCTTGGTATCCCCACTCATCACGTGATGTTGACTAATTTCGCATATGAGTTGTTCGCTTATTGCACCTCTATTGTTGCTCATGATAAAAACGGTGAGATTATTCATGCTAGGAATATGGATTATCCTCTTTATCAATCAATGCAAAATTTGACTTATACTGCAGATTTCTTCGATAATGGAGAATTCTTATTCAGATCAACTATGTTTGCAGGGTACACTGGGGTTTTTACTGCAATGAAACCAGGAAAATTTGCTATCTCTATCAATGAGAGACATACAAAAACAGCCATGGGAATTGGTGTAAACATTTTAAGATTTATCACAGGATCATATAGTCCTGCTTCCCTTTTGAAGCATACTTGAAGATATGCTCAATCGTATAATGAAGCCAAAGAAATTCTCTCTAAATATCCTTTAACTGCTCCTGTCTATCTCATTGTTAGTGGTACAGAGGTAGATCAAGGAGCGATTATTTCTAGGGATAGATCAGGAGCTGCAGATATCTGGTTAATCAACAATCATTCTACAGCAGACTGGGTTATTGTCCAAACAAATTATGATCATTGGATAAAGCCATCTCCTGCTTCTGACAAAGAAAGAGCTAATACTGCCTATCACCACTTGAAGAATATTGGAAGAAGTGAACTTGACAAGGAAAATATTGTAACCGATGTGCTCCAAATTCCACAGATCCTTAACAGAGGGACTATTTACTCAACTGTGATGCAAGCCAAAATTACTACCGGCCACAGCACAGATGTTGATGTAGGAGGCGCATACTTCAAGAACTATAGATATCAATAGCTATGACTTGGTTCAATCTTACAAGAAGTTGCCGGGGTTTTGGGGTTTTGGGGTTTTGGGGTTTTGGGGTTTTGGTG